ACTCACTTCTCTTTAATTTTGTAGTGCAAACATGATCGTGTCCATATCTCTACTTAAAGAGACTTTCATCATGACAAGCTCCTGCGTGAAATTCTTTCACGATGCCCAGTTGTGTCCAGGATAGACTGACCAACTTTTCAACAACTACTGCTCACCCTCAGGAGCTGACATGGACATACACAAGCTGCGTTAGGCGCACCTTCTAGATGCTTCCCAGGGACACTGCACTTACCACATTGAATTTATTTTTTCCAGAAGATTAACTTGTTTTCAGTTCAGTGACTTTTTATGATTTTATTCTCAGCATGTATCGCAATGCCTGTCACAACACATGTGCTTAATCAATGCTTATGGATGACGAAATAATTGCTGCAAAAGGCAATTTACCACGTGGCTGAGTATAAAAATGTGAAGATGCTAACTGATCAATGTATCTCCAATTAAATTTCTTCTAGGCATGAAATTAAAAACTGTCTTTTTTGTATTTCTTATTACATTTCTACATCAAAGAAAATTAAAATACATACCTCATTTACCAACCTAGTCTCCTTCCACATGGCATGTCATAGATGAAGAAAAACAAATCCTGTCTACAAACTCTACTGCTGAGCATCGTTTATATGGAGAGCAATACTGTTTCTAATGTCTCACCATCAGAACATAAGTGGGATTTTCCAGACATGCCTTGATGAACTCCCCTGGAACGTATGCTTCATATTTTCATCCCTGTTGTTTACCACAGGCCAGATCTCTAATCGGGGTATGGAAGGTGATAGAAACTGAAAGTAAGGCTAAATATTCAGATAATCTGGAGTTCATTCAAGTTGATCCATCAATTAACAGTTTATTCCTTTTTCATTGCTGAGTGTTAGTCCATCATATGAGAGGAACCGCATTTAACCTTTCACCCACTGAAGAATCTTTGGGCTATTTCCAGGTTTTTTTATTTCTCAAAACTATTTTAAAAAGATAGTTACTCTTCAGATGATCAAGAAGGGTCAGAAAATTCATGATGACTGAATATAAATCATATTCAGCTTTGTAAAAGATAAAACAGAAAACTAATTAGAATTGTATTGACTTGCTTTGTTTTAGAAAAAACAATTACCCATTTATCATCTGCAAATTGGATACAATTTCTAACTTTTGCTTTAAAAACTAGCAACTCTGAATTTTATAGGAGAACCCGATTGTTTTTATTGTTAAACAATTCAGCTAATTGCCATATTTCCAAATCAAAGTATTAAATATTTTGATTTTATTTCTCATAATGACTAAGCCAAAATTCTAGTCCATATTTTTTGTAGGCATTAGTGATAATTTTCCTTTCTAATGCAAGCCTCAAAAATGATATTAACATGGAAATTAAAGTCTTCATCAATTATTTTATTTTTTGTGCACTAAATTACTTTAATGGTTCATACATAGTTATGTAGTTGTACTTTCATTATTCTAGTTTTATTAACTTTACACCAATGAATTATATTACTTTTATGTCCAAATTATTTTTTTGTTTTTGTGCACTGTTAGAACCAAAAAGAAGCACTTTAAACCAATGACTGGTTGTTTTAATGGTGCTTATATACTAGCTTCAGATGTAGTGATCATTCTTCAGAAAACAGAGGATCTGATATTTTGGCAACCCCAGGCTTTTTTCAAATAGCAACTGGACTTCATGAAGAAGGACACATTTGAATTTTTTTTAAAGTTTTATTTCTGGTTTTCAATGTGATCACAGCAGTTTTCTTATTCTTCGTTTCTTCTCTGTCCGATTCAGGAACTTGGGAGAAATGGAATGGAACTGACATGTTATCTGAGCCTTTTTTTTTCCAAGCTCCAGAAATGTTTGGCTGTAATTTCTGGATAACTAAATCATTTGCTATCTCATAGAAATGATTCACCTTTTTCCTGTTACCCCAGTTTCACTACTGCCTGTTGACAACCCCCTCCATCATTCCCTCTCTGTGTGTGCCTGTGTCCCAGTCCTTCAAGATGACTTTCCTTTTGTCAATTTGTACACATGCTCAAGGACTTGGAAGAAAGGAAATGGGAAAAATAATATAGTTAACTATAAAATATAATAGTATAAACCTTTTAGAAAAAAAGCAGGAGAAAAATCTTCATGATAATCTAGGCCTAGACAAAGACTTCTCAGAATTGCCATAAAATGTAAAGTTAAGAAATCGGACTTAATCAAAATTGAAAAGTTTTGCTCTGTAAAAATCCTGCTAAGAGGATGAATAGACAAGTTATAGACTAGGAGAAAATATTTGTAAAAGACTTATCTGACAAAAGACTAGTTCTGGAATTTAGAAAGAACTCTCAAAAAACATTTTAAAAGAAGCCCCACATAAGTAATCTAATTAAAATGTACAAAAGACATGAACATAACATTCACCAAGATGACATATAATAGCAATAAACACAAGAAAAGGTGGTCAGTATCATTAGCCATCAGGGAACTGCAAATTAAAACCACAGGGAGATATGATTACACAACTATTAGAATGGATAAAATAAAAATTGCTGACGGCACCAAATACCAGCAAAAATGCAGAGAAATCAACTCAAGCATTGCTCATGAATATGTAAAAATGATACAGCCACTCTGAATACAAATTGGCTGTTTCTTATAAAACTAAGCATACAACTGCCACACTACCCAGTAGTTACAGTCCTGGTCACATGAAAACTTATACATGAATATTCATTGTAGCTTTATTTGTAATTGCCAAAAACTGGAAATAGCCCACAGATTCTTCAGTGGGTGAAAGATTAAATTCAGTTACTTTCATATCATGGAATAACACTCAGTGATAAAATAGGAATAAACAGTTAATTGATGGAACAACTTGAATGAATCTCCAGAGAATTATATTGAGTTGAAAAACATGGATCCCCAAAGATTACCTACGTGTGACTCCTCTTTTATAGCAAACTGGAAATGACACAGTTATGAAAGTGGAGAACAAGTTAGTGGTTTTTAGGGGTTTGGGATTATGGGGCTCAGAGATCGAAATGGTTAAAAAAGGGCCATTCCAAAGATCCTTGTGGTGATGGAAATGCTCTGTATCTTGACTATGGTTGTAGATTCACAAACTTTATATGTGATCAAACTGTATGAAACTAAATACACAAGCCTGCCACACAACTACAAGTAAACCTGTGACATCCGAACCAGATCTGTGGATTTTATCTGTCAGTATTCTGAAATATTGCACTATGGTTTTAAAAGATGTTTCTACTGGGGCAAAAGAGATAAACGGTCCATGAGATATTTTTGTATTCTTTCTTATACTGCATATGGTTCTGTATTGATTCAAAACTTTTGAAAAATTTAAAAAAACAGAAGAAATAATTACTTACTAAATACTGTATGGTGCCTTTGTTTTTCTCTGCATTTCCATTTTCCTGTTTGTTTGGTACTTCTAGCCATAGAAAGATGATACAGCAAGCTTCAGTATTTTAGAGCTAGATGAAACAGTTTCAGCCAGAAGTTTCTAATATCAGGCCTTTAAATGAATGAAATGCCCGATTTGCAGTCACTCCACAGCAGCTATGAAAAGTCAGCAGCTTCCTGCCTTTCCCCAGACCACCAGGGCATTTTTCATTCTGAATGCTGAAGCAACCCAGTGAGTTATTCCTGAGAGTAAATGAAGCCTAAGTACACGGATGCCCTGAAAGGAAGTCCGTGCACATAACGTACTGGACAGACAGTGCAGCTCTGGAACGCACTGATGGCTTCGGATAAATTTCCCTGGCAGAGACAGCCCGGGGACAGTGCGGCATTGCCTGGCCCTGGGCCTGTCGTCTCAGTCTTGGTTCAGCTTCATATTTCTCAGCTCTATCATTTTTCAGTTGAAAAGGCTTAATATTATTTAATACCTATAATTATTACCAATGTGCACATAGAATTATTACACAGGTACAGCTGAAGCGAAAACGAGGAACAGTGTATTTAGAAAACATTGAAGAACCAGCTCTTAAAAAAAAAAATCTGTGAACACATTTTGTAGGAAATGCAGGTAATATATTAATTCTGAATTTTTGTGTGAAAAGTTTGAACAACTATAAGTATTTAGATACTGCAGGAGAGGGTAAAGAAAATAAAATTACACAGAAATAAAAACTCGTTATCCAAGTCACTTATGACCTGATGTCTCATCTGAGTTTCTTTCTTTAAGCTTTAACTCAACCACTGGGCAGCTGGGTAAATTAGGATAATTGCATGAGTGCCCTGACCCTTAGTTTCTCCCATTATCTATGGCAAACTTATTTAATATGGTTCTAAAACATTTTTAAAAGTCATGTGATAACACTGTGTAAACAAAATGCCTTGTAACATTTTGAAATAATTGGAAAAGTGTATTTGAAGTTGAATTTAAGAAACTGCCAGAGATACTAAATTTCTAAATTCTGTGCTTACACTGGGAGGTCTGAAGTTTGGAAAATTAAGAAAAGAATTAAGTAAGGCCAAACTGAAGAAATAATTTTCAAAATTGTGAAAGCTATTCATAAATTTGGATTTTTAAACAGTTGAGTCATTGTAAACATATTTGCAGACACCCATGGTTTTTGCTAGGCCGATTTTTAGGGGTAATGTCTAACCCGTTTAAATTGGCAATTGTGTCAACTGTTGAAGGTTCTACTTCAAACACAACACAGGCATGAACTAAAAAGGGGCAGATTTCAGTCCTTGATATGTGCTCATCAGTAATCCCTGGGGGACTGAACAAGCATTCATGCACTTAATTCCCAGAATTATTGAATATTAGAGGCGTGCATTTTTATACCACTGGTTACCTATATTCCTTCCACCTTGGCTGGAAAATTGACTGCTTCTTTGAGAATAATAGGAAAAATTTCCTACCCTTAAATCTTCATCAGTTTCTTTCTTTACCCTCCCAATAGTTAACCAAGAAATGTCATTGTTTGGGCTTGTGTATTTGATTAATAAAATGTGTCAAGTCGCTATCCAGGTCAAGACAAGAAAGTGAGTATGCTTTTGCAGAATTTAATTGCCAGCCAGTAAATAAAATATCTAATTTAAGAAAATTTGATATACAAATATCCAACTTACGAAACAGTTACATTTTGAGGATGATTCTATCACTTTGAAAAATAATTCATCGTTTTACAAAAAAAACATCATTTTACATAAGCCAGTTTTCCTAACTGAGGTTAATGTAGAACTTATTGGTACACATATTTTTAGGAATACATCTACCACAGACAGTGAGGTACATCTTTATGGCATTTCTTTCTTGTAAATGGGTTTTCCAAAATATATCTATGATAAATGAAGTGCTGTGAATGTAACCTAATTCTTTTCAAGTTAAACTGAATTTTCTAGACAGTCTTCCACCCAACCCTGGCAAAAAAAGAAAAAGTAAATAAATGAAGGTGAGCATCGGCAGTATCAGTAGGGCAAGGGTCACAAGAAGGTATGATGCCAGGTCTCTCTTTGGTGTTTAGGAATTTCTGTTGATAGAAACGTAGATAGAAATGGAAAGAGACCCCAATTACTCACTTAAGGATCTCAGCAAACATCATTCCTTCACTTGCAATCATGCTGTTGTTCTGTTTTATTATCCTTTCCCTACTGCTTCTCTTCATTAATGCCACCTAGTATCACTACATATTTAGAATAATATTCGATTCTAGGATATCTGGTTCTAACAGTATCCAGTACTTTCTTTAAACTCATAAATGCATCTGTCAGTGTCATCGAGGATTGTTAAAAAGCATCCTTTTCCGAACACTGAAAAGCAGGGTGTTCCTGGCTTCAAAGCCCCGTTAACCGCCGTGTTCACCTGTCAAGTGTCAGCGCCCAAACTCCTGATATAAATAAGCTCCCGGGGCAAAAAACCGTTGTCGCTTTTATTGGTGGTGGTATTTGTAGAAACAGAGAAAATTTGAGATTAAATTCTAGTTAAGTATATATAATGCTGATGTATATGATCTTAACTTTGAAAAAACACAAACAAAAAATAACAGCAAAAAATACCCAGAGGCAGAAAAAAAGGAATCATCTAAAACATCCCAAGTACTGAGATGAGACATACAATTCCCCCACTACCGTATGTCTAATTTAGAATAATTTGGGAATTTCACTATCCCCGGGACTAATTCTGAGTCCCGACATACTTGAGATAAAGGTGTGCTTAAAGCATAAAGGACATTTACTGAGCTGTTGTAGTTCTTCAAACCTACCCAGCCCATTTCTAAATCCCCAAGACAAACCACAGTGAGAAATGAGCCACATCTCAGAGCCTCTGGCTTTTCTGAACACTAAAACCCAGCATGTCAAGCTGAACTGTGATATCTCATATCAAATATGTTTTTTAAAATCTACTAACTTCTATAATGTAATTGAATCTAAAGAATCAAATGCATCACGCCTTGAATTCTGCACATTCTTCTTGCTTCACAAGAAGGAACAAAACCTTAGGGAGTTTACCAAACTCATTCTCACTCAAAATACAGCATTTCGGGAGTGGCAAGAGTAACGCCTACATGTGCACATGTTTTTTGCTTGGTCTGGTTCTGTTCTGAGAGGCTCTTCAGTACTGGGGCTAAAGCCGTGGCTCTGGACACATTACAGCTCCATCGCTAGCTGTGAACCTCAGCCTAGTTAGGGTTCACCTGTTTCTTCACCTATAAAGTGGGGAGAAGAACAGTCACTACTTCAGGTGGTTGTTCCGAGCGGTTCACTTGTGTGAACACATGCTGAACACAGAGAACAGAGGCTGGGCACTGTCGTTGCTGTTCCCTCCTTTTGGTGTTTGGCAGTGAGAAACTAGGTTTTGTGACACGATGCACTTTATAGTCAATATGCTAAATCTTGTCCAATCTGTCTAGTCCATGGAGGTAATTTTTGCAGCAAAATGAACTCAGCATATTTCTATTGATTTGAAATAAATACTAATGGCACGTGTGAGGCGAGTTCTGTTTCCATGGTGGCTTAAATAGATACAGGTCATATAATTTCAGCTTGAAAAAGTTGCCAGTGCCTTTTTTATATCAGGTGAAAACAGTTTCCTTCTAGTAGCTCAGCAGATGAGTATAATAAAGTTAATTATATTGAAAACAACGGAGGAAACAAGAAATTGAGAATGTTGTCCCTGTGGGGAAAACTACATATCCATATCTACTAATAAAATTAATAATGATTTTTTGGTAGATTTTATTTTTAAAGAAATCAGTCAGTAGAGAAAGAAGAGGAAACTACTAGGTTTTTGGACCTCTTTTGAACTGGCAACAGTATTGCCCTGCTTAAAAATAGAATTTAACTTTGGATTTAGACTGTCTGAATGAATTCATTTTCATCTGGATGTTATGAGCATGCAATCATTTCGCTTTGTAAGGTACTTAAATTATTCTAATTTATTGTTATTCTGTTTTAGCATTGACAACTTTTGCCATATTCTTGAACTTCCATGTTTCATAAAGCCTCACATTTACACTGATGAGCGGTTGAACCTGAAAAGTTCATTAAAAAAAAAAAACTTAAACTTTTTTCTGACAAAATGTTATTAAAAATTATCAATCATCAAAATATATTAAGTCAGACATTTCTTTTACTTACTGAGAGGAAAACCTGGGCATCCTAGAACTCTATAAAGTATACCTTTCTTCCATTTTAAGAGGATTTGTTCATGTTTCCGTGTTTGTTCTAACAGTGTACTGTCTGTACACATACTTAAGAAAGAATTTGGTATTATTTGTGTTTTAAAGCTAAACTGTAGGATCGAGTGAAAGTCCTTGATAAGTAACCATCTTTCAAGACCCTAAAAAATTATGAAAAGCTCTAATCAGCTACATTGTTTTACATATAAAAATATCTATAATAGGAGTCACCTACCACATGGAACCAGTTGCATTCGTTATGAAAAAGATAGCTAAAAATTTCCTGTGGGTCATCGCAACCATACAAGAATACGAGGTGCGTTTGTTTATCAACCAAAAAAAAACTGTGAAACAATCTGTGGAAGCCAAAGCAGGCCACGAGAGTTTTTGATAGCCTTTGCCTTATCCAAACATGTTACATGTTAATATAACGCTGTGGATGAACGCTATAAAGTGTAAGTCAGCATTTGCAAATTTACTTCTTAAACATCCCCCCACCCCCCACCCAGACCACTATGGAAAATATGTATAGGATGATGAACGCTTCCTCCTTCAAGTGTCATAGTCTTGTGGTCACGTACTCTCCGTGGGTGACCGTGTCCGCCACGTGATAGTCCAGGCTGGAGTCCCCTTCCTTCGCACGCTTCTCCTTGGGTATGATGGGGACCGTGTCCTCCTTGTCCGACTTGAACGCACACACCCTCTTGCTTACCTGCAGACCCAGAGTGTCCGCGCTGCGTTCCCGGTGGTCGACAAGGATGCACTGCTCCCCCAGGCCGGGGATGCTCAGGTCCCCCCGGGGGGCGAACCCTGCAGAGTCCAGCTGGCTGCCCCTCTCGGGCCGCCTGTCCGCCTGTCGCCGGGCCACCTCTCCGGAGACGGAGAACACTGGGTGTGCGCTCCGCTCGGCCGCGTGCTGTTTGGATCGTCTGTGAAACAACCCGAAGTTCCTGATGTCCGCCACGAAGTTCAGCCTCCGGTGCTTCTCCCTGGGGGGCTCCTGCACCACCAGGGCCGCGCCGTTGCTGACCGTGTGCCTCTCGGACGCGAGGGCTGCCGACCGCGGGTGGATCAGCGTGGTCAGGTCGAAGAGGCTCAGGTTCCGCCGCTTGTCCCTGGTGCCCCCTTCGCCGTCGCTCCTCTCGCCCGGGTCGGCCGGGTGGGAGGCCTCCTGCCCCGCCTGCACGGCGGGCAGGCTGCTTCCCCGAAGTAACCCCAGGACCTCAAAGCGGAAGCTAGAGATGTCTTGCTTCAGTTCCTAAGTGAAGTGCAAAAAATGAGATCAGTTTGTGACTTAAACACCAGGCAGCATCATTTGCTCATGTCGCAGGGGGCTGACACCGTCTCCCTCGGACTGGGGCTCCACTCTGCTGTGGTCCCCGTCAGGACTGCGGGTCCCCCAGGGAACTGGTCATTTTGATGCCTGCTGGTTTCCTTGTTGCAGCGCTGTAGGGACAAGCCTTCTCGGGGTTGGTGTGAAGAAGGGTGTTTTCTTTTCCAACACTGTGCAATCAGGTACATTGGGCTCATTTGGGACTAAGGATTCAAAGGCCTCCTCACTAAAATTCTCAGCTGCTGTCAAGTCACCTTGTACTCTAAGAGATGTGTTTTAGAAGATTTTCAATATTGGCCCATGGTGCTGTCCAAGGGGTCATCTCAAAGGCTAAGTGCATCTACCCTTCCAAGACTTGGGAGTTCCTTTCACTGTTGACCACCTGGGAGTTGATTTTATCCCCACATCTGGGTCAGCCACTGATTCCTGGCAATCCCGACGGCATTTCTGAGACTCATCTTTTTATCTATTCTGGAGAACCTGTCAGTCCCAACCTGACCTCCAGCAAGCGCTGGAGGCCTCCGTGCTCACCGCCTGCCACCAACAGATCTCCCAAAGCACCATGAATCATTTAACACAAAGAAGCACAAAGAAGGTTTTCGTTGTTGCTATTTTGGGTGTGTTGGCTACTAAATGTTTCGTAAACAGACTGAATTCTCAAAACTAAAGGTCACCCAAGAGAGTATTGCTGGGCTTATCAAGTCAATGCCACATGGTACTAGGATTTTCTCTGCCTCCAAGTAAATCCCTTTGACATTTCAGATGAAGTATGTTTGAAAACAATGTATTTTGAGAAGAAATTACACCACTTTTATTATTATTATTATTCAGTTAGAGCTTTAATTTAGAAATCAAAAGACTCCCAGGCTTCCTGGAACCTGTGGCTGAGTTTCTAGCTGTGATTTTAAATTTGCGTGTCTGGGTCCACGATCTGCAGAATCCTCCTCTGGGTGATGGAGATGAAAACGGTTACCTTAAAGTTCTCTTCGGTCAGGCCTTCCTCGGTTTTGGCATCTCTGATCATCGCGGCGACGTATCGCTTCACCAGGTTCCTCATAACTTCCTGCAGCATTTTAAAACAACAGAATTGTTAGTCAATGCATAGATATGATTTCTCTCTTGAGTCAGTTGTGAAGAGGGGACTATTTTATTTTGTTGCAAATTACAAGCTATAATAAAGAATAACTTACTTGATATTGGTGATGTCTTCTCAAATTATCAGCAGCTCGCCTCTGAAAAGAAAAGGGATATTTACCTTTTGGTTATATTGATATATTACCATTCTGGAAGATAATTCATTGTTCTTCTAATCAAGAAAGTTTTTTTCCTCATTTCTCTGAAGTGGGAATTGTACCAGACAATGAACGATAGCTACAGAGTACGTCCCATGAATCAGAAGAAAGAGGAACCGATACAACAGAGTGCAAGGTGATAATCCATATGGCATTTAATATATATAACAAATTAACAAAGACAGAAATGTTACTTCTTCTAATATAAAGTGTTGGAGAATTAGATAATCATAGTTGATATGCACTTCAAATCACTTAGAATGATGCTGAGACATATCAAATAAAAAACAAAGTACAGATAAAAATTTGATAGAAAAAAAGCCAGCATTATAACAACATGAGCATATTCACAAATATCCACCTAGCAAGATTAAGAATTTAGCCATGATATGCCATATGTAATCAGAATATTGTTAGACAATAAACTCCCCAACATTATTTTGAAGCAGATGTACATTAAGAGGGGGTTGCTGTTTTAACTAGATGGTTGGATTTAGCAAAAATAAATAAATTATTCTGGTTGAACACAGGGTTCATTAATTAATGATTTAAATAAATATGAGTCTCAGCTATCATTTTGAAGAGGTCAGGATGGTTTGAGAACACAGCTAGGGCTAGCACAACGCAGTAATTTTAGAGTGCAGAATGGAAGAACTGTTTAATGATGGGAAAAGAAGTCCACTGTAACTTGAATTAAATAATAAATGGCACTAAAATCATGTATTTTTCAGGTTTTACAGGTATTCTACAGATGTTAGGGGAAAAAAGCTATCAAATCCCAATTTTATGCATGTTGAAAAAATATCTGTATTGCTTTTAAAGGAAGAAAACTGTCCAAATGCTCTAAAATTATTTCTGTAATAAAAGAATGAATTTGATAAATTGTGAGAAAGCAAAAGACATAACGTATCTTGGGTTTAAATAAGTCTTTTGATCTTCCTTTCTTAAGGAAGGCCTATAAAATGGAATTCTTCAGGAACTTAATCAAAGGCCTATAAAATGGAATTTTGAAGAGAGTTGTGCATATCTCACTGTGAAATGATATTAGAAAAAAAAATCAAACCATTCACAAAAAACTCTTTTCTCTCTCTTTGGGGGAATAGGGAAAGAAATGTCATTTTCACTGGCCATAAAAATAGATTCTGTTTTATGGTTACTAGTGACCTTTAGGAACAGATGAGATAATGCTTAACTTCCTAATGACCATTAATTCTTTGAAAAGCATACACTTTTATGCGAATCTTAAACATGTGTTAAATATGTTTGTGCTGTTAATGAAAAGACAATTTGAAATTTGAAGCAATGCAAAATTAGAACATCTTGAGAAAAAAAAAAAAGCACAGGAATTTCATGACTGGGCCAGCAGGTGGGGGTATGTGACTCCTGTTGGGACCCAGCTTAGCTGAAATCCAAGACAGGAAGCCTAAGAAACAAACAAGCCTTCCAGGTCTTCTTAAATTTTCTTCAGGTGAACAGAAAAACCAAAGCAAAATGTACGCCAACTTCTTCAACATCCTCTGTAAATATTGACCAGGAAATCCAGATTCCATAACTGATGTAGCCAGAGACTCTGAATTTAATATAGAATTTAATAATAGACTCAATTTTTAAATTTTGGGGTTCTATATCATTTTGATTGCTCTGTTTTAGTCTTTCAAATGCCAATACAACATCGCAGAGAGCAGTCTGAAGTCATGATTTAACTTTAAATTTCCTTAATGCAAAACTAAAACTAAGGAATCAGAAAATTGAGTGATAAGTAAAAATTATCATGATGTATTTTAGCACTGAAAAGAGTGCAAACACATCCTTTCCTTCAACAGTTTGTGAATCAACTGCTTATAACCAACTTTTAAATTTTAATACAAATACTAAAAGATCAAAGATTACATTTTAAAAATAACCCAGGTTTATTTTTCTAGGGAAATTTTATTTTTAAAGCAAAGTAGTCAGTCAGAAAGAGACAACATAGAAAGTTTTCTGTGGTAACTATCAGGAGCTATTAAATATCCATAGCCCACGTTTAAGGCGAAGTTAATATAGTTAATTGTTTTTTGCCAACACATTTTTTTCCACATAGTAATACTACAAAACTGTTTTTAGTCTTGTGAGGTGGTATCAGTCAACTGAACTTTAATATCCTAGGAAAATGAGAATGGATAAAGTTAACCATCTTCTGAATATAGACAACAAAACAGGAATATAATAAATTCACCAAATGATGACCTCTGCATTATGCAGCTCAGCTATCCCTCGATAGATCTCTTCTTCTATCTAGAAGTTTGATCTCTTCTTCTGTGGCTGGCATCATAGGGCTGATTCTTGTCTACCATGCCTGCCTGTTTTCTGCTTTCTTACTTTCTGGGAGGTAGTGTGGTGTGATGTTAAGAACATGAACTTAGGGGCCCCCACTTGGGTTTGAAGTTGGCAAAGGGAGAAATAAGAATTAATCTCCAAGGCCCTCTCCTTTCCACCATTTTTTATTTTGCAAGGTAAAGATAAACTCCTGGGGTGTTTTTGAAGATGAATTGAGATAAGAGATTTAAGGCATTTATCACTAATTAATGTTAGTTCCCATCCTCTTTCCAATTTTTCCCTTTCTGTGTAATACTATGATTTAACAAAGTTTAAAAAAAATATTCTTGAATCATAAAACTTATGGATAGCTTGACAAGTGTCACGATTACCTCTGAGTAAGTAAAAGAACAGACTTGGATGTAATTGCTTCTCTTTGTGTGATTTGTATAGCATTTCATGCTTGAGGAGAGTTATTTTCTTTAGCTAGAGAGTTGGATGCTTTTAGGCTAAGGCAGTTAGAGGTTTGAAGTGAGAAATTTGTATTTAAGTAATAGGAATGAGGGGGTGGTTCTAGTAAATATGGGTAGATGTAACACAAACTCTGTAGGTAGTCATTTTTGTTTTATTAAGACTTTATGTTTTAGAGCAATCTAAGGTTCACAGCAAAATTAAGGGGAAGGTACAGACATTTCCCATATATTTTCTGCCCCCGCACATGCAGAGCCTGCCCCATTAGCACCATCCACACATTTTTTTTACAACTAATGAACTTTTACTGATGTGTCATAATCACCCAAAGTCCATAGTTTACATTATGGTTCACTCTTGGTGTTGCGCACGCTATGGGTTCAGACAAACGTGTGATGACATTTTATCCATCACTGTGGTATCATACAGAATATTTTCACTGAGTTAAAAATCCTCTGTTCTCTGCCTATTGATTTCCCCCCACCCTAATCTTAACCTGGGGCAACCATTGATCTTTCTACTGTCTCCATAATTTTGCCTTTTCCGTAATGTCATATAGTATGTGGCCTTTTCAGAATGGCTGCTTTCACTTGGCAATAATTACATTTGCTCCTTGTCTTCTCCTGTCTTGATAGCTCCTTTCTTTTCAGTGTTGAATTATATTCCATTGTCTGATTGTACCACAGCTTGTTTATCCATGACCTACTGAAGAACATCTTGGTTGCTTCCAAGTTTTGGCAACTATGAATAAAGCTGCTGCAAACATCCTTGTGCAGGATTTTGTATGAACATAGGTTTTTAACTTCTTTGTGTAAATACCAAGGAGCACAGATGTTGGATTGTAGGGTAAAAGTGTATTCAGTTTTGTAAGGAACCATCAAACTGTCTTCTAAAGTGACTGTGCCATTCTGCATTGCCACCAGCAATCAATGAGAGTCCCTGTTGCTCCGCATCCTTGTCAGCTTTTGGTGTTGTCACTGTTCAGGTTTTTAGCCAATCCAATAGATACATACTGCTAGTCATTCTATCTTTTTTGCGGGTGTGGGGTACCAAAAGTTTTATTCACATCTCTGTATGACATTGGATTTTGCTATGACCTCTGTGATTTTTCCTTAATGGGCTCCTATACCATGAAGTTTAGGTTATAGGGCCAGTTTAAGGTATATTTATTAAGTGACTACATGTTCACGGCAATGACCTGCAAGAAACCAGAGATGAATAAAACACACTTGTAGCCCTTAAATGGCTTATAGTCTAGTAGGTGGAATACCAGGAGCAAATATTCTATAGATAAAGAGCAAATACAAAAGAAAACCTGTGGAATGTAAGAAGTGTTTGAGTCCGAGAAAGGGAGCTGGGAGGGGGAAGTGGACTGAATGAAGGAGGGACCTGGGAGGGGGAAGTGGACGTGCTGGTGCACGAGGAGACGAGGCATGTCACGGCGGCTCCCAGGACGGCTGCGACGTGCTCTGACAGCAGGAATACATGGGCCAGATCATGTCGGAGAGGCAGCGGGGTCCTTTATGTAGGATCCTAGACAGCACAGTGAATTCAGGGACTGGTAGGCACCTGGGGTTTTTCACTCATTGAACAACGTGTGATGGAAGTTCGCCTCTGAGAGTTCCCTGGAAGCAGCGTTAGGTAGGAAGGATGGGTGTGAGGCAATCGGTTAGACGACGGCATCAGTCCGGATGCGATTACCATCGTGCAGCTGAAGGGTAACGTGGGTGGCAGCGTGAATGGGAAGAAGCCAGGAAAAGTCACAAAACGGTAGGAATGTGGAGGAGGAGCAGAAAACAGGGGGCTCGGCTGCTCCGATGTTGGTGCTATTAAAGAATAAGAAAGAATTCCAATGTGGAGAAGCTGTCCAGGGACACTGCACGGGAATATCACTGTCTGTTGTACATCCTTAGAGATGTGTAGGACTAAAGAAGATTCGAGCATCGTATGCATAGGGACAGTAGTAGATACAAACACAAGCCCACATTCCTTGGCATTATAAAGGAAAACTAACATGGACAACGAAATCATCAATGAATTGTGAATATATTTATTGGGAATGTGCAAAGGGACCATCTTTCTCTTTTAGTTAGCTTTTTAAGCTGGCACTAAAATGAATTTAATTCTCCAGCTTCCCAGGGTCTAACCAGAGGTCGAGGAAAAGCAGACGGCAT